ACATGATATCTAATTTGACTTTAATGTATATACATCTTCGATTGTTAGTCCAGTAAAATAGTATCAAAAACACCGAATATCTACAAAACGGATAGACAAGCCAATTTTTTGAGGGTGAGTAGAAGGTCATAGGAGATGCCCGAATTCACAAAGTTCCAACAAAATTTCCCTGTGCGTCGGCGGCCATCTTCAAAATAGGGGTAAGTTTGGATATCTCGGCTCCTATTGGTCGAATCTTTTTCCTTTTTTTTTAATTTTGTAGGAAAAAATATTTGCTACAACTTTTGTTTGAAAATTTTTTTAATAGCTGTCAAGGAAAGAAAGTTACAACCAAAAAAATGCCGTCAATTTGGGGTTGAACATTTTTATTGACAATAATATTGGCCCCTGTTAGTTTTATCAAAAAAATGTTCAAATAAAACTTGTAGAGGACTCACTTCTCTACAATTTTCGATATTTCGATTTACAATACAAACTTCTTTACATTTTGCGGTGACTCAAAAAATACCAGAGATAGAGGGCGCCAAAGTTGACTGTGTCTAGTAAATGCTATTTTTCGTGGGAAAAATTCGCGATTTTATTGTGAATTGTCGTACATTAAAACCTATGTGTCTAGTTTTTTAATAGTGGAGCCCCCCCGCAGGGGAGGCGGACATAATGTCTCCACACATATACTTTTTAATGCGTAAATATAAAATGGAAAGTTGTAAACCCATGTGAAACCTTATTTTGCATTAAAAAGTATATGCATAAGACAGTATGTTCCGCCCCCCTGCGGGAGGGCTCCACTACCAAAAACTAGATACATAAGTTTGCGTTGAACCTCGCTTTGTGTGGAATAGCAAATGTATAACAAAAAAACATAAACACGCAAGTAAGATATAGTGAAAGGATCATAGAAATAAATGCGAAAATTATGATACTTCAAAATCGCATATCTCTGGAACTAGAAGAGAGTGCCACAAAATTCAAAGTGCGTGTTACTTAGGAATGTGCCTTCTATAATATATGTAAAAATGAAAATGATCCGTAAGGTGTAAGTTAATCTGAGCATTTACCTGATCCTCTATTCATATAAAAAGATTTGCAAAAATTAAGACGTGTATAGACATTTCCCAAAAAATTCAAAATTGTATAAAAAATGAAGTCTTTCACCGTTCCTCACTAAATTAAATATCAAACATTCTTTAATAATACTCTATTCATGTAAAAAAATTTAACCCGATATTTCAAATTTTCCGAAAGTTACAGCGTGTACAGCCATTTCTCAAAAAATTAAAAATTTTATAAAAAATGAACCCTTTCACCGATACTCACCAAATTACGTACCAATCATCCTTTAATAATACTCTATTTATGTAAAAAAATTTAACCTGATATCTCAAAATTTACGAAAATTACAACGTGTACAGACATTTCTCAAAAAATTAAAAATTTTATAAAAAATGAACATTTTCTACATACATACATACATACATACATACATACATACATACATACATACATACATACATACATACATACATACATACATACATACATACATACATACATACATACATACATACATACATACATACATACATACATACATACATACATACATACATACATACATACATACATACATACATACATACATACATACATACATACAGACATTTTTTAGGAATATGATTTTTCGACGGTTTAGAACATTCTAAACACATTGGCATAGAAAACTGGAAAAAAATTTTATCACGAAAACAAAGCTTCCTCTATGAGGAAGCAAAAGTACCCGGTTTTACCCTATTTTCCCCTACTTGGTGTATGTTTTTTATTAAATATCTTTTATAGATCATTATCTTCGCGATATTACTTTCGTATAAGAAAGCTCATCACAGAGTTTTATTTTAATTTATCATTATTTTATTCTAATTTACCAGAGTATTTATAATCAGATTCTTTCCCGCAAGTACAATCAAGAATTCTTTTCCGATATTTTTCTATTGTGTATTTTAAATAAGAGATTACCTAAATAATAGCCGCATTACAGTAATATCAGTAAATTTGTCGACGAATGGCGGCAATTTATTTTGTGAAACAAAGTGCAATGCTCGTACGATGAATTAATACTTTCTTGCGCGAACGTCGCACGTGTTACTCCTTCTTGAGAAATGTGTTAGCTATTACTATAGCCTCGCATCTCCGTCAGCTGGCTGTAAAATACTAGACGACGAGACACTTATACGTCATCAAGCTCGCGATCAAGGGGTTATATGCGGAAAATCCGACATATTTGCTGTCGTCAAGTAAATCGCATAGAAATATATAGTAGTCAATAAAATGATATGAATTTCAACGTTCGAATTTATTACATCAGCTTACACGTATATCAGATTATGTAACAGATAGTCTTAAACACGTATTTGTTTTAATTCTTTGTTTCGCGTGCCGCGAAGAATTTCTCGAGATATCTTGCAATCATTTTTATCTAAAGAAATATTCGTAGATATATCCGCGAGATTTAAAGATAATTATCGCAAGTTACGAATTGACATGTAATCTTTATATTCTAAATTAATTTAATGTAAATTGTTTTATAAACTACTTACATTTTCTTCAAAATTAAGATATGCATAACATTTTATAATAGAAGAAAATGAGCAAAAAAACATATAAATTATTATTTGATATTTATTTCCAATTTACCAGTATGTGCATTACATGAATCTCGATTTATTTTAATGATTTAACAAGTTCCCAATGGTTGACTTTAATTCTATGCAATAAAACGGAATATAAATTTTTTAGTTATATTTAATTGATCCAAGTGCTATCTGTAATTAATGATTGAGCTTTTGTGATAACTATACAACTTGAAAATATTCACTATAACAGGCACACTGAAGATGTATGTAACTTATGGCAATTAAATGCGAAAGGATTTATTCATAAAAAAAAAAGATCATTATTTCATTTCATTACATTTTCCCATTTAGGAGCAAATATGTAATTACGTTCCGAAATGTTTCGGCAAAGTGCCAGAATCCTTTTATATCGACATATTTCCTCGCGTATTGGTTTGCACTTTGACGATAACGAACAATATGATTATCTGTCTTTCATCATTCGAATAACTTCGTTGTCTATCGCGATAATTCGATTCATTCGACGATAATCACCCAATGGCGCGCGCTAATATTTCCATCAAAACGAAATTTTTAAAGAACACAACAGACATCACAAAAAATTTATCTGTGTTCGACGGATATATTTGTATGCGCGATGATCTATAAAACTATTGTACATTTAATTCAATCTGAAACAAAAATATTTAGACAAATTTGATCTATTTTTATGCAACATCATGTCAACGGTCTAATAAAATAGCTATGTATATTAAAAATAATGAAAATTTTATAAACGCAATAATAATACATTAAAAACAAACAGAAATAAAATGGGATAAAAATTCTACTTTTGTTGAGAATAAACCGTACAACTACTGTAAGTAGTAATTTGCAAAGAACATTAAAGTTTAAAACATACGAGTTATATCTCAAATGATTTCTTATTCAGAAATTCAATGTAAGATTGTATCGATAATTGATTATAAATCTAATTTTTTCGATTTCTTTCCACACGCAACAAATTAATAATAGTGTCTATCAAGTGAAAATCAAGGAAGAGTATATAGAATTACCCGCACTCTAAATTTTGTCGGTATTAGATAAGTCAAAGTTTATTAAACTATATTAATAACGCGCTTTAGAATTTATGACGTAAAAAATTCAAACATAAGAAGAGAAAGAGAAAGAAAGAGAGAGTGAAAGAGAGAAAAAGAGAGAAGGAGAGAGAGAGAGAGAGAGAGAAAGGGAGAGGGAGAGGGGGGGAGAGAGAGAGAGAGAGAGTAAATGCCGTATTTTTCGTCGTGATTTATTCGCATTATTCTACACGTTTCCTTCTCTATCTCCTTTTTTTGTTACTTACAAGCTGCCAAGTCCTGGAGTTGTTGGAATTCTGCTGGCGAGAGCTTATCCCAGTGAAAGGCCATCCTTACTTATGGTTTATGTGTCCCTTAGGACAAGCGGCCAGTCGTACAATATTGAAATTCGTCACCTGCGAAAAGATGCAACTATGTATAAAATATGATTAATATAGAGTTTTTCATATAACTTTATCTCTAATTATTTGTTATAAACACCATGCTAAATATTACATTTGAAGCTATTGTATTCAGAAGATAGTAATCGCACACACATATATATATATATATATATATATATGTGTGTGCGATTACTATCTTCTGAATACAATAGCTTCAAATGTAATATTTAGCATGGTGTTTATAACAAATAATTAGAGATAAAGTTATATGAAAAACTCTATATTAATCATATTTTATACATAGTTGCATCTTTTCGCAGGTGACGAATTTCAATATTGTACGACTGGCCGCTTGTCCTAAGGGACACATAAACCATAAGTAAGGATGGCCTTTCACTGGGATAAGCTCTCGCCAGCAGAATTCCAACAACTCCAGGACTTGGCAGCTTGTAAGTAACAAAAAAAGGAGATAGAGAAGGAAACGTGTAGAATAATGCGAATAAATCACGACGAAAAATACGGCATTTACTCTCTCTCTCTCTCTCTCCCCCCCTCTCCCTCTCCCTTTCTCTCTCTCTCTCTCTC